TGTGGCACAATATAGGAGTCAACTCTCTCCAGGATTCCTGGCACTACTGGTCATGCTGTTAGGCTGCCAGGTGGATGCTCTAGGCTCAGGTCTGTGCCTGATTTTTTTTCCCCCTCACTTACTCTGTTCATCTCCATTGACTTCAGCTGAGCTATTCCTGATTATCTCTGGCAGTGGAATAAGGGAATGGGGCTCAGTTCTTTCTGCAGCAGCAGGACTGAGGATGTAGATTTCCAGAGCCACCTCTTTATCCTTGCCAATGTTTCATCATCCATGACCAGCATCTGCTTGCAAAGCCAGCACTATTTCTCCTGTAAAGTTTGACAGTTCATGTGTACGTTTCAAGAAAGCTATACAGCCACTCAGATGAGAGAGACTCATCCAAGTCAGTGACATTTCAAATAGCGGAGCCCCTGACAGAGACACATGGTGTGATGTGCTCCCTGAGCCTTCAGTGACTTTGGGGTGGTGTTGCTCATTTGCCTGACTAGCTTTGATTGTACTCCTGCTGCTGCCAACTGCCTTACTGCTCTCCGTGTTTTATTATGAGACTTGGTAGGGATGCTTCCCTAGGGATAGGGACTGGATATCAGTTTGGGGGCAGAGCAATGAGTCGGTCGGTGTACCTAATGGCAAGACCTGCACTGGGACCAAAATTCTGAGCAACTAAACCTGATGGCAATAACAGTAAGCATTACTTCCAGCTTACCATAGTAGATTAGGTGTCAGACTAATGGCACAAAGTTGTGTGTTGATGCACAAGTGTAGTTCACTTTTATTTAGCTACCTGCTGCGGTCTCAGCTGATCTTCCATCTTGGCAATACTGAGTGCTGCTGAAGGACATTACAGGTAAGAGCCACTCTCCAGCATCATTGGCATTGCTGCCAGAACTTGAAGCTACACACACAAGGCTGATTCCAAAAACACCCCATGAATGTTTTATTATTTCTGAAATGGAGCCTGCTATGGAGTTAACTTTAAAAATAGCTTCAGAGGGATGAGCAGGAGCAGCAGCTTGAAGCACCCTGTAGGCAGTCTGATAGCTTCTTCATTTATAGGCAGCCAGTGTAAAGAAAACAAAGCCAGCCAGTAAAGTGGTGGATTGATTTTTTTTTTTTTTTTTAGCTGGCGTTGTGTTTGACTTTGGAAGTGCTGAGCAGTATAGGCTTCATTTAAAGAATCCTCCAAATGTAGCTTTCTGAAGGGATACCTGTGCTGTCACATTGCCCACCCTGCAGTTCTGTAATTGTTGCTCCCTAGCATGATTGCTTTCTAGAATTTCCTGGGACCACTCAGGCCATCTCCTCCCCCCGCCCCCAAAAAGACAATGACATTTATAGATGTTTGCCTTAATGTCCATCAAACCTTCTGTAAGACTCTTCTTCTTCTCTCTTTTAAAACATGTTGTTTAGATCATTTGTTTTCTTGTTTGTTTTGGATTTTCAGAAGTATAAAGTACTTGTTTGTGTGAGTGTTTTTACCTTATTATTAAATGTTTCCTTTAATTTAATGGTGAATGAGTGCAAGAGCTATTTCCACTGTGCTCCTTTGGCATGCTTTCAGAGGTTTTACACCGAGTTGAGCTGAGTTTTGGGGAAGAACCTCATTTTTGCTTTGTGTAACCAAATGGCAGCTACCCACTTGCACTGCTGCTGCTTTTGGTGCTTGGGCACAGTTTGTGATCCTCTTTCATGTGTCGTG